AAAGAAGAGCAAGAAAGCAAAATGGTTTATCTGATTGAGGCTTTACAAATAATTAAGGAAAGAAGGAAAGTGAAAGGGAAAAGAGAAAGGGAAAGATATATCCAACCAAATAAATGCAGAATCCCAGTGAACAACAAAGGAGGGAGAAGGTTTTCTTAAATGAGCAATGCAAAGAGAAGGAAAATACAAAAGATCTCATGAAAATTAGTATCATCAAGGGAATTTCATGCAAAAATGGGTGTGATAAGACAAAAATGGTAGGGACTTATCAGAAGTAGAAGAGCTTAAAAAGAGGTGGCAAGAATATGCAAAATAACTATATAAGAAAGAGTTTAACATTACTGATAACCGCAACAGTGTGGTTACTGATCTAGAGCCAGACATCCTGCAAAATTAAGTCAAGGGGAACTTAGGAAACATCACAAACAATAAGGCTAGTGGAGATGATGGAGTCTCAGCTGGACTATTTAAAATCCTAAAAGGTGATGCTGTTAAAGTGGTGCACTCAGTATGCCAGCAAATTTGGAAAACTCAACAGTGGCCAGCGGATTGGAAAAAATCAGTTTATGCCCCAATCCTAAAGAAGGACAATGCCAAAGAATATTCAAATTACCAAACAACTGAACTCATTTCACACATCTGCAAGATTATACTTAAGATTCTGCATGCTACGCTTGAGCAATATGTGAACTGAGAATTACCAGAAGCATGGGCTGGTTTTTTAAGAGGCGGTACACTAGAGACCAAATTGTCAACATTTGCTGGATTATGGAGAAAGCAAGGGAGTTCCAGAAAAATATCTACTTTTGCTTCATTGACTACATTAAAGCCTTTGAGTATGTGGCTCACCACAAAATGTGTCAAGTTCTCAAAGAGATGGGAGTATGACATCATCTTACTTATCTCCTTAGGAACCTTGTATGTGGGCCAAGAAGCAACAGTTAAAACTGAACATAGAACTGATTGATTTAAGATTGGAAAAGGAGTATGACAAGGCTATATATTGTCACTTTATTTATTTAAATTATGCAGAGTACGTATCATGCAAAATGCCAGACTGGATGAATCAAAAGCCAGAATTAAGGTTGCCAGGAGAAATATCAACCACCTCAGATATGGAGATGATACCACTCAGATGGCAGAAAATGAAATTAAGAATTAAGAAGCCTCATGATGAGGGTGAAAGAGGAGTGTAAAAGCTGGCTTGAAGCTTAACACTGGGAAAAAAAAATAAACAAGATCTTGGCAACTGGTTCCACAACTTCTTGGCAAATAGAGGGAGAAGAAACAGAAACTGCATCAGATTTTATATTCTTGGGTTCAAAAATCACTGCAGACAGCAACTGCAGCCATGAAATTAAAAGACGCTTGCTCCTTAGAAGGAAAGCTATGGCAAATCTGGACAGCTTACTAAAAAGCAGAGATATCACCCTGCCAACAAAGGTCTATGAGTCCAAGCTATGGTCTTGCCAGTAACAATGTATGGCTGTGAGAACAGGACTATAAGATAAGCTGAACACTGCAGAATCAGTACTTTCAAACTGTGGTGCTGGAGAAAACTTTTGAGAGTCCCTTGGACAGCAAAGAGAACAGATCAGTCAATATTTAAATTAGTCCAGGCTATTCACCGTAAAGTCAAATACAGAAGCCGAAGCTTAAATACTTTTGCCACGTAAAGAGAAGACAGGACTCATTGGAAAAGACCCTGATGTTGGGAAAGATTTAAAGCAAAAGGAAAAAGGGGGTGACAGAGGATGAGATGGATATAGTGTCATAGAACAATGAACATGAAATTGGACAGACTTAAGGAGATAGTGGAGGATAGAAGGGCCTGGCATCCTATGGTTCCTAAGGTCATAAAGAATTGGACACAACTGAATGACTAAACGATTTGTGTAAGTTTTTAAACTCATATTGCCTGCAAATAATTTTATCTTGTTTTTTATTTTATAGCTGTAATGAGCATTTTCAGTATTATCAAATTATAATGGGAAAAGAGGGCATCTTTGTTTTACTCCTGAACTTAATGGGAAAGCATGCGTTACTTTTCCATTGCAAATTAATGAGAGCTTTGTATTTCAGGTGTATAATTTGACATCCTAATTCTCCTTCAATAACTATCTTTTTAGATTTTTTACGAACATAAATGCATAGTTTCATTTAAAAAAAACTATGTTGATATACTTGTATGGTTTTTATATAACTGTTGATTTTTTTTCTTAATGTTGTATCTTCCCTGACATAATACAATTTGGTCATAATTGGTATTTCTTGGCATCTATTTCTGTAATCTCTTCCCTAAAATTTTTGAATCAATGTTCACAAATTATGCTGTTCTATAATTCTCTGCTTCATACCAATCCAGTTTAGATAAAGCACTAATTCCATAAAAGTACAGTAGAATATAATTTTTCTAGTGACTCAAATATGCAAATAGATTTGTAACATCATTGATATGGGTACTCCTTCCAATGATCATGCCACTCATCCATTCCTATACATTTTGATAATGAACTTGTAGCTAGGTCATAAATTTCCTTTAGCCTCTCAGCCAAGAAATGTATTGAACCATGGGTTTCTGTAATCTCTCCATTTTGGGAGACAACTTAAAACACAAATCAATAGGTAGGCATGGTTCATGTTCTGACATCAATAAATAGGCTCTTTCTGGCTTGGAGGATAGCTTTCTATTATCATGTATCTTTTATTTGTCCAAGTCTTTTTATTTTCAATTTTACCTTTCTTCAATGATTGTTAAACTTTATTTTGAGGTTGTTAAATTTTTATTCAGCTGAATGCTTCATTAAAAAAAATAGGTATCTTGTTTCTATATCATGTTTATTTCCTTAGTATATCCCTCTCCTGCTCCTACCAAGGGATCCTTTGATTGCTTAAATTACAAATATTCTTTGATTTAAACTCTTCATCTTTTGTATGGGAAGGGATTCCTACTACAGATGGCTGCAATATTTGTAGTTTAAACTGAAATTGTGAAGCTTGACCACACTCATTTGGTGAGTTAATCTTGGAGTTTTTATCAGTGGATTGTGGCTTCTACCAATCCACACTTTCACAGTTTTCAGTTATTTTGGTCCAATTTTCCTGATTTTCTTAAGTATAGTATTATTTTGATTGTGGTCTTCTGGAAGACCCATGATTCTTACAGCACTGCAATTTTACCTTAAAGTTTAATTCTCTTGCCTTACAGAAAAGACATGTGCTGGTTTTGTTGTCTTTATTAAGTCAACTTTTCTTCCACATCTGCATTTTCAAGTTTAAAGTTGGTCATTCTTTTTCAGAGAATTTGTTGCTTTAAGGAGGTTCTCTTATCATTGGCTCTATATACTCTACTCTTATCCTTTTGATTTCTTCTTTGAGTTGTCCTTTGTTTTAATTTCTACCCATTTGTCTTTTACTGCTCTTTTGAACCATTCTGGAGTTTCTTAAAGCTGTTCAGTTAAGGAGATCTCACGATAGTTAAGTCTCCCTTCATGAGGAGTGTGGTATTTAATGATTGTATTGGGTCTTTTTCTTATCTTTAAAAAATCAACTTTTCTGTTATTTTTGTATTCTCTTGTTGTTTGCATGTTGTCATTCCTTTATGCTACTTGACACATTACTTGTTCTGAAATGGTGGCATGGAGCTGGGCTTAAGTAAACCTCTCATTCATCTTGCCAGAATGTATCCCCTTCCCTTCTGGCCCAGAATAGTGCTGGAGTAGGCTGAACATGCCTGGACTCCTCCACCATTCAAAGTCACCAACTCTCTCCTGTCTAGACCACTGGGGGCTGAGTGAATTTACAAAACCTCCGCTCCATGAAGTACGGCAGAGTTGTTTGTCCTCCATTCTCAAAGAGGACCATGGACCAATGACATCAGGAAGGTGATGTCGACTTGCAAGGGAATTGGATTTACTGCCTGTGCAGTCAGTCACCAGCCTCACTCCTCCAGAGCCATCTGGGTCCAGTGGCAAGACAGAGATCAGGTTAGCAAGAGATTGCCCAGATGCAGTGGGAAACCTTGGCTTTTTTAAGCCAAGGTCTTTCCCAGGTCTCAATTTGTCTGAGGCAACACCCACTCAGTGAGTAAGGCTAGGTAAGGAATGAGACCAAAAAATAGCCTGACCCACTCAAAGAAAAAAAAAACCAACTTGGGTGGGGAAGACCTTCAGGGTTTTTGGCCAGAACAGAAATAATTGCTATTTACATTGCAGCGACCACGCTCTCAAAAGTAATATAGAACGTCACAGCCATGAAGAGCTAAGAACACAGGGTTCCAGGCCTAGTAGGTATAGTATGCTGGTGATGTGACATTTTTTTTTCTTGTATGAACTACAGTTTGGGGGGAGGGAGAAGTGTTTTCTTTCTTTTCTTTAAAAAAAACCCCTTACTTTATTTGACACACTTTTTCTATTTTAAAGTTGTGTTTGTCAGGCTGGATTTAGACATAACCTCTAACTTCCAGCTGTCTTGCTCAGAGACAGATTTTTTTTGTGTGTCAATCACCACTAAAGGAAAACCTAGTTGAAGAGAGGTCTCAAACCTAGTAACAGAGGAAGCAAAGATAAAGACATAAGAAGGGTCTGAAAGGTTAAAGTTTTGATGGTCAGTCTTGTAGTGCAAGGATTTGAACTCTGGACTGGTAAACCAGTAGTCATGAGTTTCAATCTCTCTGGGTCCTACCTTGAGTTTTTAATGGTTTTATTCTTCCTACATGAATAAGATTTCCCACACTCATTCTTACCTAAGAGCTGAAATGTGCTACTCTGAGACACACTTACTGAATCAGGTAGTTGCCCCTAGAATTCCAAATGGACTATCCCTTCTTTTTGCATCAGTTCCCAAGTGAATGTTCATGTTCTGAATACAACTCCTAACAGAAAGCGGCCATTATTTCTCAAGAAAGGAGGAACAGAATAGAGACCTCTTCCATAACCTTGACTATGAGGGAAGCATGCCTCCTTAGGTATTTTGGAAAGATGCAGGCGCAGTCACCAGAGTAAAATTATATGCTTTTATTTAACATAAAATGAAACATTAAGATAAAATACACATTCTGTCCATGTGCAGAAATACTATTTTACATTCAATTCTGAAGCAGGTAGTTTTACATGAACAATAACAGGAATGGTGTAAGGTAGTAAGAAGAGTAGGTATGGTAGTGACAAGAAACGACAAGGCAGAATTTGTTTTTCAAAGTGCTAAGGCCTACTGGCAAGTAAGATTTTAAAGTGACAAGGACACATATGGTAATCGCTCCCCTTCCTCTGGTCTCTCAGTGCTGGTGAAGGTGGTAAGCTGGAGCCTGATACAACATGACATGGCCAGATGAAAAGATCACGGTCAGTGGAGCTTCGATGCGATCTCCTCCCCAAACATTTGAAGCTTAATGAATACCTGACAAAAATCTTGCCCTATAGTGATATTAATGCTGACCAACCCTCAGGGAGTGCTTTCTATTGGCCCTTATCTCCAAAGCCATAAAAAGAGGACCTAAATCCATGATTTCACTCATTTTAAGGCTTGTGCAAAAGAATTATACACCTCATCAGTGGTGCTTACAGGTAAGAGATACCTGGACACCTAAAATGAAAAGAACGGCCAACTTAAGGTAAGCGTCCTGACTGTTTAACATGTCTATGCTCTATTGGCGATGATGACGTGCAACTCCTATTTTTTTTTTTTAAAAGCTGATCCCAGAAATATTAAACTTCATTCACAGTATAAACACTGCATGAACCTGAGGCAGAGACAGGTGAAGCCACAACCTGTAGGTGTGTGTTTATGCGGACAGGCATACATACACACGTGTACACGCACGCGCTCTTACCCAAGATCTCTTCCTTGTGTCCAACCAGATCCTTCGACTAAATGAACTATAAATATATAGCCACTTTCTGCCTCACAGTCACTGTGTCCAAATCATTTTAACTATAGAAAAACAATTACTTAGGCCTCATTTGTGTTATTTGTTGCTAAATAAGGTAGATGACATCGAGTATGTTTAGGGCAACTATTAGTGCAGGCAGTTGTTTAGAACAGTGTTAGTGAGGTCAGAAGCAAAATCCATAGCCCTGGTCAACAACATCCTGGTCAGGTCAACTGAATGCCATTGTATTAGACATCCATCTCTAATCTGGTGAAGTGACTCAACAAACTTGCTCATTCTACTAACAGTGAATTAATCCTGTCTCTGTATATTACAAACCACAGGTGATTCTTAAGGAGTTTAAAGCATCCTGGAGATTACCAAAAAAAATTTTTTTTCAATTTTTAACAAATAAATATGGAATTTATCTTCCCTTTCCCTATGGCGGCTTCTATGTTCTGGAATAACAAAGATGATTCAGGTGCAGTCTTTTTCTGCCATTTTCTGAAAATCATCTGACTCTTCCAACTGGAGGGCCCCCAGAGCCTACCCAACACTGTGTCCTGAAATCACACTTGATCATTACTTCTTGCTTTCTCTCCACTATTCCATGTTAGAGATATGAGTGGGTGTGGTGTTGAGAGGGAAGAGTCCAGATTTGGAATTCACTGCCTAAGTAAATCTTTATCTCATCTGATAAAATGTCTCAAATATTAGAATAGTCAAGTCTCACAAGAGAGGAATATTCATTTTTCTGTTTCCCCCTTTATTGAGAATAAGCATAAATCTGTTAATTGTATAAGCAAAACCAAAACCGAACAGAACCTGAAATCCAAAGCCACAATTCTGAGTAGCAGACAGATTATTGTTAGGAACAGCACAAGTAACATAAGCAGTGCTGAAAGACAACCCATGGAGTCCTGCTTAGTCCTGTTTACACAAAATCACCAAAACAAATACTAGAATCACTGTTAACTAAAACACCAAGCATCAGAATTCTGATTTCTAAAAAAATTAAGCCACATCTCATTCAAACGCATGACTTTAGATCGTAATGAATGGAAAGGTGGGAGAAAGGGGAAAAGAGCAACTTCTACCAGGTCTAAACAGATCCTAACAGAGTTGTAAAAACATTTCTCCCCTCTAAGGCATACAATGAGAAAGAGTACAACTGCAAAGGCAAATAGCAAATCTTTTCATCAATGGAAAGGAAAAAGCCCACTGAACCTAAGAAACAGCTGTCTCATTGTACCTTTAGACCATAAAATGGTAGCTTGTCATCTGATCTGCATATTACCTATGTCTGTAAGATTTCTAGACCTATTAACAATTCCAGATCTTTTGACAAATCCCAAATAAGTTTTACTAATATTTGTACAACTCACCAAAACCACCATCCCTCTAGTCCTTAAATGCTGTTTAATACACTGGCAGTCACTGTCCTATTTAATATTTCACTAAAGTCATGTAACAATGACAAATCCTCTCTCATATTTCAATACTGTTATTGTCTCTACGTTCCTCCTCTCCCAATAGTTGCTTAGAAGCAACTACTGACCCATGTGACTTCCTCATCTCTAAAATAAACTTAGTAATGATGGTCTACGCACATATTGAGGAGATATTCAATGAAAACACAGGGTTCTTGAACATCATTTTATATCAGACCATGTCTTCATAACCATACAACTGTCTGAAAGATAGACAAGGTCCTGATCTATTACTGATTGCACACAAAAAGTATTTGACTCAGTAGAACATGATTAAGTATTAGCCTTAAAGGCTCTCCTTCAATGCTACCCATGTATATTAAGATTAAAAAAAACAACCCCTGATAGACGTAGCCACTTTATTTAAACAATTTCTGAATATAAATATCTAATGAAAAAGAAAGCAGGGAGACAGATGCTCACCAAAGGCGTTTACTGGCATCATGTAGGATGTTCTGTATAAGGTCCACACCAAAAGTTGGTTACCTATAGATAATGAATACTGTTGGTAGTTAACAAAATATTAAAATAAGTCCTTAAGAACACAGGTTAAATTCTCCATGAATAATTTATAGAAGGATAGGGCATAACTACAAAGGCATGGATGAGTGCAATGAGAACCAGTGGTAGGAGTACTCAAACTGATGAGGTCACAACCATCAAAGTAACACAATCATTCTTCAAATTTCCCATTGGGCTACAGAATGGAATGTCACTAAGTCAAGACTTTGCCTTACCATGAATGCGAGGTACTCCACTTGATGATTTAAAAAAAAAAAAAGATAAACTACAGGTTAAGTGCCTACTATGTTCAAGCCAGTAATCAAGGTACTAGGGATAAAAAGACAGAACTGCTGATTGAATGGGAACTGCACTCCCAAAAGGGTGTCGATTGGAAGTGATTGGATCTTAATCAATGATCATTGACTTATTCATTTCGTGTGAACTCATTTTAATGTTTTATACCTTATTTTACATAAAGAATTTGAGGACAGTTTTCTTGAGATTCAATCAGTTCCTTTAGAGATGTGCGGACCTTCAGCAAACACAGATTTAATATGAGTTCACAGTGTTCCCCTGCTGTGTTGTTATGCACTCTGAATTTCTTCTTCTGATCCCATTCCCATTTTCAAGAAACAAAACTGATAGATTTTTAAAGGTATAACTATGTACCTAGATGACCAAGTTCCAAAGAATATTTTGTGGAAGAGAAATGATAATGGCTATGGGATAACAGGACAGTTTACTACTGAAACAAAATGAGAAGTCAGTTTCAAAGTATATAGTCTCCTCCCATTCTAATTTTCTATCACATTCTTATGAAATCACATCAGAACAGTCGTTTTAAATTTTCAGAAGCGGATGGCACACACGTTCATGTGTTTAGTCACCCCATACTCTATGGTCAGAGGCAATGCAGACTGAGTTAGGGTGGCTTAACCTCTCAGTGCCCCATGGCAGCTTATACTAAGAAGAGTCTGGACCTATGCCAAATATTTACAATCTCAAAGTATAATTTTTTAGTAGGGATAACTTTATCAGTAAACCTTCCTAGCTCTCAAGGACCTCCAGAAGGCTCTCATAAAATACACGTAAAGTGGTTTGCAAACCTATATAAAGCAGTATATTAATGCTAGTGAGCTATTATTCTGGGAATAAAATACTGCTCTTTCCTTCTAATCCTACCAAATATTTGTTTCCAGACCTGTTCCTTATAAATTTCTTTTAAAAAAATTAGAGATTAGAAAATTCACCATGTAACTTGTAATTAGTTCCAAGTGATGAATGTAGTACAGCATATATCCTTGGACAGTGGCCTGTGTCTTTTCCTCAGCAAGACTCTCTTGACTCAACTTAGACCTGTCCAAAGTCCTGAAGACTGTTTGACAGAGACTGCCCTAATGGACACTTACCTGTAAATCTTGAAAAAAAGGGGGAAAAAAATTATACTCTTCACTAGAGAACATTTTCTTGCACAATCCTAGGGTATAAGGTGGGGGAAGAGGAGCTCTTCTGTTAAGTGGTTACTAACAAGTGTGGAAGAGAACAGTATTTTTTCCTTTACAAAGTTTTCATCATCATTCTTTCTTTTGAAGTAGAAAAATAGCCACTCTTCAAAGAGGCCTCACCTCTTCATCTTTGGAGGGCCCACAAAAAGTTCTATATGCCTATCACAGAATGCGAAGAAACAAAACAAGCTGAACAAGGGGCTAAAAAACAACTGTGCCAGATTTTAGAAATAAAACCTATTCTGATGCTTTCTTTATTAATCTCCCCATTTCCCTGTTCCCCTACAATTAGGGGTATTGTCCCAGGAATAGTGTCAAGCAACAGAAAAACATTCATTCAACTCACTCAGATACAGGTCAGACCTCAAAATTCACCAGCTCAAAGGTTTTTATTTTAATTTTTACCATCTTTTACTTAATAATAAAATGAAAAATAAGAGAATATATGAAGTACATACAGTCTATATACATATATTTATTGCAAATACTTAAAATTCTTATGTAAAATGATTTTCTATATTATTTGTGAAAAAATATGGATGGTGTCGACACCAACTTCTCTGTACATACCCTCAATTCCAATGTTAATAATTCCTTTAAAAAGGCAAAAGACACTAACGTTTAGCATGTACTAAACCAGTTTGTACAAACCTTATAGCCAGGAGGAAAAAAATAGCTTGTGGTAAACAATGTCAAATTTATTTTGAAATAAAAAACAAACCCCAGAACTATCCCCTTTACTTATTGCATTATATGGAAATAATCTGAGAGCCTTTCAGTCACTTCCTTGGAGAGTGGTGCCTCTGCAGAGGCCCCGAACCCAACATACCCTGTTATCAGAAATTCACAAGTCTTCTGCTGTCAATTTACTTTTTACAGATATTAAAATATATATTACTTAAAATATATTATTGGAAAGCTTTTTTTTAAACTGATCTTCAATATTTGTATCAAATGTATAGGATTAATAAAAATAAAGTAACCAAGAATCTCTGAAGGTATTAATTCAATCTTAGCAAATATCCCTGTTGCTTCCCTCCAACAGGTTTAGGTAGGAAAAATCCCTGCCTATCATGTGTCCCAAAGTCTTTCTGGACTCTTCAAATGCCCAAGCTGAAGCCTACCCCCTGGGCCAAGTTTTAACCCAAGTGCTTTGTAGAGCTATGTAATAGGGCAGAATCCAAACCTTTTCTATTTTTGCATCATGGGAAAACTGGTAAGGTTTACCTTATATGTGAGAGCCAGACACAAGCAGGATACTGATGCTACTCACTGTCAGTGAAGCCTTCAAAACATCCAGTTAACATGAGTCCCTTAAGATCCCTCCATTTTGGTAACCACATTCAGTAAGACCCTAACCAGAGAGCTCTTTCATGGTCCTGAAGGTGGTAAAAAGCAATGATAGCCAGTTAGACATTTAATATCACTAACCTGTTATTTTTAATGGCTAAAGCCAGGTGATTAACAATGTGTTAATTAAAAACCTTACCTGGCAGATTTGGTCTTTCCCTAGATGGTTATTTAAATTTTAGAAATAAGCTTCAAAATACCTGTCAGCCTCCAGAAAATGTTACCAGCTCTTACTAAGGATGCTCAATGTGATAGCAAAGAGCATCAATAACTTGAGCACGTGGATGGAGGGGGAGAAGGACAGAGAACCTGGGGCATCTGTTTATTTGGTTTTCAATTCTTATTAACGAGATGGTGTGGTTTTTATAACTACACAATTTCAAATTCAAGAACATTTTATAACAAACAATTCAGAACACACATAATTAAGACCGGGAGATACTGTATAATTAATGCTATTTCCCTGCAGAAGAACCAGTACCGGAAGGCATCTGAAGGACAGAGAGGGGTGTATCTGAAGCATGCCCACTAGGGATGCAACACCCAACTAAAGTCAACGGGAGTAGTGCAATTTAACTCTATTCTATAAGAACGCTTAGCACTTTCCTTGAAAATACTTCAAGTTGAGTAGGAAGGAAGATAGGAAAAAAAATACATATATATACGTAAAAAACTAAAACCAAAATTAGAACCCTCAGAAGATATGGGAAAACCAGTATCTACTGATAATGTTCCAATAGGTTTTCATCTCCAACTGCTTCATTTTTCAAGACTAATACCAAGTTCAAAAGTATTTTTTGTTTTTGTTGTTTAATATGCAAGGCATGACTTCCCACTTGAACAATGCATTGCTATTTTCCAACGGAAAATGTGAAATTGGATGTGACCAACACCCTCTGGCTTCCTTGTAGTTCACATATGATCCTCAACAACAGAGAAATGGACTTAATCCTTTTTATAAGTTGCGACAGTCTGAGAAGACAGGGCAGGAATGCACTCAAACACTGCATAGTGGGGGAAATGTACAAATCTATTTCTTGGGATTTTGTGTCAACAAATTTTGAAAATTAGGAGCTTGCTTTAGTTAACTTACATGTTACTGCATCTGGTGAAGAGTTATAATGTTCAAAATCTTTTTATTTTTAAAACCATAGTCAATATGAATTAAGAGACAATATAGATTGGTCTTGTGATGGCCTGAAGTTTCCCTTCCTCTGTAGCTAAATCATTTGTCCATCCCTAAATTTAAGGATCAACCAGAACTTTCCTTGAACCATATGCTGATGAGCCCCCTAGACTACTAGCATGAGGAAGTAGAGAGACAGAGAATGAAGTTACCCACCAGCAGGCCAAATTCTTCTCCACTTACAACCTCCTCAACTTGCTCAAAGCTACCTGTAGGTAGAAACAGAGCAGAACACACCCATAGCCCGACCTCCTGCTGTGTGAGCTAACTGGAGTAGCTGCTTCCAACCTTGGGATTCCTGCAGTCTTTCCTCTTCTTGACTGTATGTGCATAGTGGTCAACAATGGAAGAATATTATGACAGCTTGAGCACGAGTTTCAGATAGTCCTATGACTGCATCAGGCCACAAGTAGGTGAGACCACTAATGGGGATGTAAATCTTATACAAAGTTTGGAATGGGGGCCGGGGGCGGGGGGGGGGAGAGTGTCAAGATTGTGTAGTTTAAGAAAACAATGACAAAGGGGGAAAAAGAGTAAAATGGGAAAGGATCAAGTAACACTAAATAGGTATCTCTTGCTATCTCCTATTCTGGAATGTAATTCAATTTTTAAGCTCTAAAATGTTCTGGATTTCAGAAATGCCATGCCCTGAATGTAACTAGTTGTATTTGTCAGCTGCACTGACAATTCTATTTTACACAAATTAGGCCTTGTACCCGACATAACCATTTTTGCAAATCAGGGTCACCCCAACTTTACTAAATAATTCTGGTTGCTGTCCTAGGCCAATGATAACCTCCAATCCCAGTTAGCCAGGGTGCAGACCTCTGTCCTAGTTCTGTACTCCCAGGTGAATCTGCTGTTTCTCCCTTGCTTATTCGTAGACATCATTACTCTTAGGCTTTCTAGAGCAGACACAGACAAACTGAGGGTTTGGTATTTTCAAAAATATGAAAAGTGCCTGACTTGTGTTTTAAAAAATATATACACACATATAAATTTAAAAATATATAAATTATTAGCCTAGTACATGCCCCACAGTGTCCTGTCAGGCCAAAACGAGTGTAACAGAAGCTGCAACAGTGGCATTGCTCACTTACCCTATCTAAGTACTATCTGCTTAGCACTGAGCGTCTGGTTGAAGAAAGATGAGGCTATTTCAAGGCTAGTGTTAAAGCTGAGCAAGTTTTTGCTCTTCCACGCCCCCACAACTTCAAACATACCCAAAAGGAAACATAGCCCAGGTTGTATTACTGACTTTTTTTTTCTAAATATCTGCTGCTAAACTACTCAAGAGCTCCAGGAGTAACTAAGCGCTCATTATTATTGCTGGAATCACTGCCCTACCCAAGATAGTAGGCAGCCAGGCCCAAGTTGCTGCACCCTTCCTATAATGCCCTGTTCTCAGGGCACATGGATAGGGTTGGGAGAATGGCAAGTATCCACAAGCATAGTGCTCAGATGCCACACAGCTTCTGGGAGAGACTAGGAGCAAAAGCAGGTCAGAGCTGCGGAAAAAAGGTTTGCGATGCTCTTTGTGAAATTAATGCCTTAGCAATGTCCAAACTGAGCAAGCCCCTCCCTTATGTAAAGGGACTAAGTATGCTCTGTGCCCAAATTCTTCAAGGAGGCCAAGTAATTTCTCCAACCAGAATTTCAAGGCCTTCATTAGGATGGAGAGCCATTACCTTTGGCCCTTCCCTCTACCTTCTTTTCTTAGCCTGACTCATAGGGGAGAGGCTGGGAGGGAAGTGGCTCTCTTCTTCCAGGGTAACAAGCTTTTCTGAGTCAGTGAACTGGAAACAAAGAATGAGTCCACGGTAATACATTATCTCCTAAGCACTTGGAAAAATAATTTTTAAACAAAATAATGTGACATATTTACATGATTTTATAAGTGCAAACTTGTCACAATTCACAAAGTCTCGCTTGACTTAGACTTACTGTACAACAAGGTGCTCTTCCATTAAAAGGTAAAAACTGTGTTTTGTATTCCTGATTACGTAACATTTATCTCTTGAGTAAGACAATTGAAATTAGTTATATTTCTTCCTGTGATTCCAAAAGAAGGACCTATACACACTTGTGTCTCCCTATATACTTGCCTACCCACTTTTTTCTCTAGGGTCTCTCTGGTTTTCTGCTCTTCCACTGTCTCTCACCGGACCACAAGGCAGGAGACACACAGTTTGGAGGGGCCAATGCAATCATCATGGCAGAAGGCACCACAGCCTTTGCACATGATCATGGCTTTCAACCTGCAATAGCATTTGGAAGGCGAGTCCTCCACACTGTTTTCTTCAGGGAAGGCCTGCACAGGGAGGGTCTGTCCATGGCTGCTGGGGTTCATTGCCTGGCTAGCAGGGATGGTGGTGACTGTCACCGAGAAGGACATGACATCCCCCATGTTGCTAGACACCTGATTACAGTCAGGCATTCCTGACACAGCAGAGCTGTGGTCCACATCAGAAGAAGTAGAGACATTGATCATGCCTCTATAGCTGGGCCCAAGCTGACGTGGTGGGCTTCCATAAAGCTTTGGGGTTTGCAGTGGTGGAAGGAGCAGAGGCTGATGTGTAGGGCTGTCTGTGGGGAGAGGAAGAGTACCATATAGCTCAGGGCTACTATTTATCATCTTTCCCCTCATTGCATGGGCCATTCGTTCCTGGGCTGCCTGAATGAAATCTCTGGCCAGGGTGCTTCCGTCAAATACCTGACCTGTAGGAAAGAGGTGGAAATTCTCTTTGCTGACAGTGGCATGACCCATCACTGGTACTTCAGCTTTCATATTCTTGTTGGTTAGAGTGTCATATGTCGATAGGGTATCTCTGCTATAGACTCCTGGGCCTCCTTCACACTTGCCAGAAACCTGGGAAGGTGAGGGCTCCTCCTTCACTAGAATCTGTTCCTCTTCATCATCTGTACTCTCTTCATCAGTCTCATCTTCATCTTTACTGCTGCTGCCATCTGCTGTCGCCCCTTTGTAATCTTGGTGTTCCATTTTAAAGGCCTCAGGAGGACTGTTCAAACAAAAACGATCCTCAGAATTCATGGACTGGGCTCTCTTAAAGCTCTCTGAACCCCGGCCATAGGTGGAAATGTTGAGTAAGTAGTGGCCTGACATGGCAGGCTTGGATGTCCTTCTGCCTGCAAAACCCAGCATAAACCTCTGGCTGGTAGAGATGTCCTCTAATTGGAAACCTGAGTGAGTGAGGCTGAACTGGGTGGGCTGCAAGACTGACAGCAGGTTCTGCCTCTGAACCCTCTTAATGAGCGTCTGGAGGAGCTGCTCTTGGGTTGCCTTATTGAGTCCTTCTTGGCAAGGATACTGATCAATGTTAGAGTCCCTCAGGTCCTTTCCTGAGAAGAGGTGGAGGGTCCTTGGGACCTGGGGTAACTGCTTACTCTGATGGATATTCTCTGACTGAGGCACAGACAGATGAGACTGTCTCTCACTACCTTCCCCTCTGGCGCTAGTTCCTGTAATGCTGGTGTCCCTGGGTACTGCTGTCCCTTTCTCCTCCTTCGTAACCAAAGGAACAGTTTTCATTTCTACTTTGGTGAGAGGCTTAGGCAGTATCTGCTCCAAGGGAACGTCTTTGCCTTGGAGCAGCTGGGTGACCAAAGGGTTATTAGCAGGAATACTAGAGCTTGGACGTGCAGTGGGTCCGCTTGTATTTGAGGAAGCTCCTTGAGCTTTAAGGCTAGAGGTTGGCAAAGTGCTAGAGGATGGAGCTGATACAGTAGGTGCTGCAGTAACACTGGTCTGGGGTGGCAAAGGCTTTTCTAAAGTGGCTGCTATTGGTAAAGTTGTCAAAGAGGAAGGAGCCACCTCCATAGGAGCACTAGGACTTGTCTCTACTACAGCTGCAACGCTTATTATGTCCTTTCTAGAACTAGCTCTAGGCTCGACTGTGCATTCTGCTGTAACCTGAGCAGGTGGGGTCCCTGAGGTCAGGGCTGAGCCTGCTGAAGGAGAAGGTGCTTTCTCTTGTTTGAAGTTAGTGGGAACCTGTGAAGGGCGATAGGGAACCGTTCTGTCTGTCCCCCAGAGAGGAGTCTGGATCTTCATTCTTCAGCTTCTCTAAAGTTGTGGGGGGTGGGTTAGTGAGGGCTGTTGAGGGGTTACTTGGACATGCTCCACTGACTGTAGATCTGGATGGTATGGGGGGGGCTTGCTGTAGTTGTGCTCTAGAGACACTGTGAGGTGATGCCGGGCCTGGGGCCTTAGTCTCAACTTGGGATTGAGTCTCTGAACCATCGGATAAAAGCTCTCTCGTACCTCCCCTGCTTCCAGTTCCTGCCAGTTCCAGTGTGTTCCCTTTTCCAGTTTCACTGGCTCCACCTGATCCTGGCTCCCCTCCTCTTCCTGCAGCTCCTTCTCCTCCCCCTCCAGGGCCAGGACCTGGGATGGTCCCCCCAACAGAGGCAGCTGCTGCTGCGGCAGCGGCGGGCGGCAGCAGCTGCCCTCTGGGCTTTGGCCAGCTGGGCTTTTGCTTTGATGTCTGCAAGGGTTCTGGCTCCTTTTCTGTTGGGACTAGTGATAGAGGCTGGAAAACGAACCCTGGGAGAGACCTGTCCTGTAGGAAATGGCACGTGGGAGATTCTGGAGACCGGGATCTGGGGGGAAAAACAAATGAAATGTGACTTAGTTTCCACTGACATTACATAAACAAAGCTTACCAGCATTCAAGAGCCATGACCAGAGTTCATTCCATCTTGCCAAAACTCCACTTTCCTCAGCATTTATACATCCACCTCCAGAGCCTCAATTTCCTCTAGCCAGCACATTTTTGGCCACTCTCAATATCTATTCTATGCTACAAATTTTGCTCTTAGGTGGCAGTTACCTAATTTCTGTTAAATTATGATCTGGTAATTAAATGTTCAGCCCCATCTGAGGAGTAAATGCTTGGAATAACATCAAAACAATAGCTCTTTAATAAGTCTCAGTGGAGGTCCAGGCTCTAGTATTAACCCCCCTCCTTATCCACCACTTCCTTTCCTTCCTTACCTTGAGTGGTGGTACTTTTCGAACCTGGACCCTTTCCCCTCTGATGGGAAAGGGCTGCTGAGAGGCTTGAAGTGCCTGCTGGTGCTGGTGGTTCTCAAGGACGCGAGGCCTCTTCTCCCAGCTCACCGGGGTCTCTTCTTCAGTGAGTGAAGATTTCCTCTTGAGACCTTCTGGGTTCAGATCACTGTGCTCTGAGGGAGAGGCAACTGTCACAGTGTTCTCCTGAGGACTTGCTTCTATGACTGGTCTTATAATTGGTTTTCCAATTCCTGGGCTCTTTGGTTTGCTTGGAGTCAAAACAGCTGTGCCTTTGTTTTCCTTTATGATAGGAGTAGCTATAGTGAGATGATTTTCATTTTCAGGCTTTGGCTCAGCAGAGGTTACTGGCTTCCTTTGGCCTAAGGGGTCCTCATCCTCTGGGCCTGGGATAGGGCCTGTTCTGTCTTGCTCAATGACACTGCTAGTTGAGGAAACTAAAGGCTCCGGGGATTTGGAGGGTTCGGGCAGTACTTCTTCTGGGCTCACTCCTGATTCTTTCCTTACTGGGCAAAGCAGTAGCACTGGCTTAGACTCTGCTTCAGGGGCTGCCACCACTGTTTTGATGGGAGGTTCATCTGAAGGTGGTGTGGGTTTTGGCTGTTCAGTCAGGGATTTCTTCATTTTGGGGTCACTGGTAGCACTAGTTAGCTTCCTGGAATCCTCTAGGCTCAACCCAGAACTAAAGAAAGGAAGAAAAAAGATTTTATTGAGATATCAAGTCTATTTTAATGGTGATACTATAGTCAGTTACCACCTATTTATAGGATACCAAAGCTCTGGCTAATAGCAATGCTCAAATCCAAAGTGCTCATTTCTACAGTGGCCATGGGGCATCTTTAGCTTAAATCCCAGGAAGACTTGCGGAAAGCCTAAAACCTCATGCACACGGCATACGTGTGTGTGTGTGTGTGTGTGTTGTGTGTGTGTTGGGGGAGGAGAATCAGGATTAGAGAGAGCGTGGGGAAGATTCTAGACCACAACAGACTTCCTAGTCACTCTCTCCCACTTAGGAGACAATTGGAAGCTTGCTCCTGAGCCTTCTTCAAGACTATGAGTCACTCTGGAAGTGTCTCAGGTATCTGCTGGTGCCTGCAATTCCACAGAATCCTCCTAAAGCAGACAGCCCTACAAAGATAGCTTCAGTGCCTCTTGAGTCTCTTCTTAAAAACAGGATAAATAAGCCCCACAGTGCTACACATACACATGCTGCAAATAGTTGAGAGTACCCTTTCTGCACAACATAACAACAGACTTCTTTTATAACAAAGTTTGAAAGGATATGATATGATAAACTTGAAAGGCTATAAAAGTAGTTCTTGTATAGAATATCTAAGCCTCTTCTTGCACAACTGTCAAGTCACCATGCTAATTTGCCAGAGACATGGTCCAGATATAACACTTTCAACTGCTAACAACTGAGAGAAAATCATGCAGACGATCCTAGTAGAACAGAGAATATTAGGGCTAGAAGGGAATTCAGAGATCATCTAGTCCAATTCCTCTTTTTGTGGAAGAGAAAACTGAAGCCCAGAAAGATCAAGGGGGCTGGCTCAACCACAGTCTCCAAGCATGTCAGTAGCATAACTCCCCTAGACTAGAATAATATCCTCCTGACTTTCCACTGCACGGATGGCTCAGGAGAGGCGTGTGAGGACAACTATAGGTTGTGATGTGATATCAAAGGTTTTCTAAGTACAAACTCTAAAACAAGCTACTGCACATGATGTTGAAATTTTAGGGGGACAGGAATTTGTGGCTATAGTAATAATTATGATTTTTCTCCAAGTCTGTTAAAACAAGACTTTCCCTGTGTTTCTATCACTGCTAATAGCAGTCACCATCATCATCACCATACTTTGGAATTATAGAAAATTATTTTGCAGACCTTAAAGCCAATGTGCCAATGTCTTATGAAGATTTTAGGCAAGTTTTAAGACTCCACTGAGGCAACTTCTACCCTGGAAGACTGACAACTAAGGCAAGAGGTTTTATGATTTCATGAGAAACTATAACACTGAAGAAGTAGATAAGTGAATGAACTTTGTGAGAAGAGCTTCAACTCTGATATAACTGACATCAAATGTCAGTTTTCTCAAGGATTTGTGGGCAAATTGTCTTCTCTCTGTGCACTTAAGCTTCTGTGAAAAGTTAAGAGACTCTAGCTATCAACAAAAAAACATGCTTTTTCTTACCTTTGCCCATAATAGCTCTCAAAGAATTGTTCCTTCCACGGCTCCACTTTTTTCTCTTTTTCAATTTCTTGTCTTATCCTCACCTGCATTTCAGGTGTGAATTCACCTATGACATATAAAAAGAGAAATTAACCAGAAATGACATTATTTGCAACTCCCAGTTCTCACTTAGTACGAGGCCTGGCACATAATAACAGGTGCCCAACAAGCATTTGTTGAATTCTTGTCTGTAACTCAAGAATGACATCTATCTAACAAAGAAATACACTTAAGAAGAACGAACATATTTGACTACTATAACAAGGCATGGCTCACTCTACTTCCATTGTCCACCACTTCTTTACATAGAAGAGAGAGGCATATTTCATCATCAGTCCTCTAGTACTGAAGTTAGTCATTATATTGATCTGAGTTTTGATTGTCTCCTAGGTCTCTACCAACTTCCAAAAGATGACTGTGGAGGGAGGGTGTTATGCAAAGCATCTTTACCTAGATTTAGAGATATAGGTCAGGCCATCCAACCCCCAACTCAGAACCAATTCCCCCACTGTCTAGAGAGCCAAAATTGGAGTATGGAGAAGCTCCTCTCTGTCCTAGTACTGGCCTACTCATGTCTTTCCCATTAAGGAACTAATTTCTTGGAGAAAAAAATTATGGAAAAAACTCACCTTCTGATAATCTTTCCTTCCAGCCTTGAGCAGCTGAAGTGAAAAATTCATTGTTAAGGGCTGAACCATTCAGCTTCATCAAACCATCTGCACCAACCTAAGACAGAGTAATTACGTTTAATTCAACTTAATTAAATTAATGTTTTAAAGTACTTATATGTGTATTTGGGTTGAGTTGGATGAACAATGTCAATTGTCCAGAATATGACAATGCAATTAATGGAAAAGCCAGAGTCAGTCCCAGAATTGAAGAAGAGGACAAGATGGCCCCAAGTTTCTCTGTGCAACAAAGAACCATCTTTTTAATACTAAGACCCTTCAAATAATGTTGTATAGTTGTGAGTCATAACACCATAATTGTAGACCATTTTAAAGTTGCTGATCACCCAAAGGGCAATGGAGGGGTACATGGTAAGTACGAGTGGGCTGCAATATATTACCAAACAAAATTTGGAGAAAATTATTGCAAAAAAATTAGTCATATAATGAGACTGAGGATAATTGACATATATTCTTCATGCTCTATTGATATCCATACAATGTCAAGACATTTACTGAAAGGCCCATGGAGAATTGAATAGAACTTCTGTGACAGATTTACAAGATGACATGGGTAAGAGATGAAAAGTAAAAATTGGTATATATGGGCTGCCATCCATACTGCTAGAGAAAATGCCTTTTCTATCTTCTCCAGCAAAATGCCTTTTCAATTACTCCCCCTTTTTCCAATTTCCATGTTTATGTATATATTGGTAACTCTCTGCTGCCTACTAACAACGCCCAAGTCTCAAGTTATTATCTTGATTCGATTCACTTCTTTTCAGCCAAACTCCTAGAAAAAGCTACCTACACTTGTTGCTTCAATTTACCTTCCTCTCATTCCTTTTACAATTGCATGCAATCTGGCTTCTAACCTGCTCACTCAACTGAAACTGCTCTCCAAAGATACCCATGATCTCTTAATTGCCAAATCTAAGATTCTGACTATTGGCCACTGCTGACCACCTTCTCCTCTGTGGATTTTCATACTACTTCTCTGACCTGTCTGACCAATTTTTAGTCTCTTTTGCAGAGTCATCATTAATATCATACCCTTTATATTGTGGGTGCACCCTAGGACTATATCCTGGATTCTCTCTTCTTCTCTCTTATACTCTCTTGACAAACATTTATCAATTCCCATGCGTTTGTCATTTTAAAAAATTAATAATTTTAAAAATTATTTTTACCAATGAGCAATAAATTGGCTTTTTAACTAACTCTCCCTTGAATAAACAACAAAAAACCTGTTGCAAACATGTACCATCAAGCAAAAAACAAACAAACAAACAAAACTCTGCGGTGGCCATGTTTATACACATACATGCTTATATACATATGTATATATACATGTGTATGTGCATATATTCATGCATATGTATGTATGCATGTGTACCTATTTCTTCTGCATGTTGATTCTTCTGGAATTCTGTTTGGTCATTATGTTTATCAAAGTTTCTAAGTCTTTCAAAAATGGTTTAATTTGTTCTTGTCCTGTTCACCTGACGCTTTATCATTTTATACAGAAGGCTTCTCTGAAGCCATCCTCATCATCATTTCTTATAGCACAGTAGTATTTTATCACCTTTTTTCCCCCCTACAACTTGTTCAGCCATTCCCCAATAGACGGGCAAACCTTCAGTTTCCAATTCTTTACCACCACACACAAACAAAGGCATCAATGTTTTTGTTTAACCTCAGAATGTCTTATTTAGGACTAATTCCTCCTTTAACCTACTCTCCCTCTAATTCCCCCTTATTCCTTCTTCCCTTTCTCTCTTAGTTCCTTATTGAGTGAAATGTACTTCTGTATGTGTATGTTTGTGTCTGTGTGATTCCCTGTTTTGATTAGTTCTGATGAGAGCAAGTTTCAAATGTTAGTTCCCTTCACTCTATTATCCTTGTTTGTATGTATAGACTTTAACATAGGTGTGTATGGGAGATAATATTCTACATCTTGCTCTTCCTTTCCTCCTCTTAGTGCCATCTTCCTCCCTCTTTCCACCCTTCTTAGATAATCAATACATAATAGAACCATTACTAAGTCTTCTGATAGGCTCCCTCTTAAAACCTTGACGACAGGAATCAGAAGGGATGCATGTTATCATTTCCCCATGATAGAATATAACTAGTTTATCCCTGTTTAGTCTCTTAGGATTGTGTGTTCATGCTTACACCTTTTTATATTTCACTTTACTCTTGTGTTTCTGTTTCAAAGTTCCTATACAACTTTGTTCTTTTTTTATAAGGAATGATTTGAAAATCCTCTGGTTTTAGCAAATATATTTTTCCCCTGTACACGACACTCAAATTTTGCTGGGTAACTTATTCTTGACTGCCTTTCTGGTGTTACAAGCTCTCTGTTTCCTTACAGAAGCAGCTGCTAAATCATGTGCGAATCTGACTTATAGCTCCTCAGTTCTTGAATTATTTCTTTCTGCCTGCTTGTACTATTTTTTCTTTCACCTATAAACCCCAGATTTTTATTGTGACATTCCTGTGAGTTTTCATTTTGAAGTTTCTTTTAGAAGGTGACCTATGGATGTTTCCAATTTCCACTGTCTTCTGGTTCTAAGAGATGTGGGGAGTTGTTCCTGTCTAAAATTTCTCCCCATTCAAACCACCATCAACAGAGATGCCAAAATAATTGCTCTGAGTATCAACTTGACCACTCAATAAACTGCAGTGTTTCCCTATTGCTAAATGTAAATTATCTGTACAGACAGATTCCATGCCTATAATGCACTCTCTCCTTTTGCCCCATAAAATCCCTCATTTCCTTCAAGATGCAGCTGAAAGCATCATATTCTACATGAAAACTTTCCTAATCCCATCAAATTTTAGGGCTCTTCTTCTGTAATTAGTACACATATACTGGAAGTATGTACACACACAACGCATGTATTTGTACACATGTGTGTATATGCACACCCAATCACACATACATTCTGTACATGCTTAGAAATGTATATACCATCTCCTCCAATAGAATTTAAGCTTCTTAGTTAAGAGCAGGGATTGCTTTCTTCTCCCCTGCCAATCTTCGTAAACCCAGCACCAAGCATAGTGTTTAGCATATAGTAACACTTAAATGCTTTTCTGAATAATGAGCTACATCAGAAATCCAAAGTACATATAAGGTTCTATGAGAGAGCAAGCAAACTAAAACAGAGTGGTACGAAAGTACAAATCTGCCACATCGGAATTCACTTTCTCTCGAAATGGCTCCAATTATAGCTACTTCAGCTGAGTGAATAAGCCAGCCTTATGCTGTTGCTGCTGTTTGGCCTTAGTTTTTGAAGAAGAACATGGCATCATAATGTTGGAGTCCGGGCACAGTGTGTTCAGCTGCGGCCGATAAGGCCGGTCGATCAGAACACTTTCAGTGGAAGTGGCTTTGGATTTGTGCAGCTCACACTTCTTTTGTGCTGCTACAATTCTGCTTTGCTAATGGAGAAGAGAGCCTGTTTTGACGCAGGCACACCATGCTAGACAGTTTCCCATGTCTCACAGTCAATATTAAAGTTCTTCAGAGATACCTTACACCACTTCTTTTGACTACCATATTAGTACTTACTACCTTGTGAAAGTTCTCTGTAAAACAGTTTTTTGGATAAGCGTGCAACCCATAACTAAGACAGGATTGTCACCAAATACCCAGAAGGGGTTTTATAGCACCACAGCACCTAGTAGGGAGTATTATTATCCCTAAAATTCATTTCAGTGAGCAATTTTCAAACAGCACTTACAGTGCTCTAGAATCCTTGGACTTTCTAATCCTTTCAAGTTAAGCTGGAACTCTTCTTAGCAACAAGAAGGGAAGAAGGAACATCCTCTGAGAGAGATCAGAGTATATTATTACTCTTGGCAATTTTCCCAAAATAATTAGACTTAAAAAGGACCAAAGTATTCTCCATCCTAGGATTTCATGATACTAATCTCCCTAGGTATTCCTCCCACCTGTCCAAACAATCCTTCTTTGGCTCCTTCGTGTAATAATAATCCTGCAAGGGGAGGCATGTCCTGCCAACTAACTGTGGGTCTTCCCCCAAAGACCTGGCCTGGGCCCTCTTTTTTCCGTATACTTTATTTCTTGGATATCAGCTCCCAAGGGTTCAATTATTATCTTGATATAGATGACTCCCAAATATACATATATTGTATCTTCCTTTTCCTGACCTCTGATACTGCATCACCAACAGCCTGATGGATGTATCCACCAGGATGTTCCATGGGCAAACTTGACATTTTGAAACCTTTCCACATAATCACACAGAGTGCCCCCTCTCCCTTTTCACCTCGGCTGTGGCACCAACTTACCCCTTTTCTTAATGTCTCAATTTCTGACTACAGTACCATCATCCTTCAGGCTTACACTTCAGGGTCCTTCTCAATCTTTACCACATCCCACCTCCATATCCAATCAACTACCAAGTCTTGTCTATTTTAGCACTATAGCACCTCTCATATTTGTTCCTTTCTGTCCATTCACATAATCATCATCCTAAGTTCAGGTCACTGATACTCCTCAAGACTGATGCATCACTCTTCTAACTGGTCTCCCTGCATCTTATCTATGTCCTCTTTAATCCATTTTTCATAGAGTTGCCAAATCAATAGTCTGAAACTAAAGGTTTGACCACATCACTCCCCAAAACAAAAAGCTTCCATGGCTTCATTTTGCTTCTAAAAGAAAATACAAAATCTTGTATTTGGCACCGAAGCCTCTCATAACCGAGTTCCACCATACCTTTCCAGATATAGTCTCTCTCATATACCTTATTTTCTACCTGACACTCACTCACACTCTCTATTTTTTTTTTGCAATTGGGGTTAAGTGACTTGCCCAGGGTCACACTGCTAGTAAGTGTTATGTGTCTGAGGCCGGATTTGAACTCAGGTCCTCCTGAATCCAGGGCTGGTGCTCTATCCACTGCACCACCTAGCTGCCCCACAAAGTGGGATTTTAGTTGGACTTAAAAGAAAACAGGAAGGTTAGTAGTCACAGTGGAGAAGGGGGAGGTTTCCAGGTATGGGGCATAGCCAGAGAACACCCAG